TAATGACTGTAACGCGAAAGGGACTACAATATTCGAGAAGTAAAAATGACTATAACTCGAAAGAGACTGCAATATTCGTGAAGTAAAAAGACTATAACGAAAAAAAAGACCACAATATTCGTGAAGTAAAAATGACTATAATGCGAAAGAGACTACAATATTCGTGAAGTAAAAATGACTATAACGCGAAAGACCACAATATTCGTGAAGTAAAAATGACTATAACGCCAAAGAGATTACAATATTCGTGAAATAAAAATGATTGTAACGCGAAAGAGACCACAATATTCGTGAGGTAAAAATGACCATAACTCGGAAGAGACCACAATATTTGTTTAGAAAAGTAAAACTGACTGTAACGCGAAAGATACTACAATATTCGTGAAGTAAAAATCATTATATATCACTATAAATGAAAGAGACTTCAATATTCGTGAAGTAAATATGACTGTAACGCGAAAGAGACTACATTATTCGTGAAGTAAAAATGACTATGTCGCGAAATACACCACAATATTCGTGAGAAAGAGGAAAGTAAAAAAAAAAAAGAGCAGAACGTACACGCCGACGACGCCGGGCAGGCGGCCGAAGAAGTCCTTGCGCAGCACGCTCTTGTAGTAGACGAGGCAGGGCATGGAGGGGCGGAAGGGCGTGGGGCCCTCGGCGCGGTAGGCGCGCTCGATGGCGTCGGCGTCGTACACGAACAGCAGGTCGGGTCGCCCCACCAGCCCCGACAGGCGCACGATGCGCCCGTACTGCTGGTAGAACAGCTGCGACACGCGCGCCAGGTCCGACACCGTGTACTGGCCCACCACCGGCAGCATGCGCCACGTGTTGCCTGCAACGGAATCACGGCGCGTTAGGTTTTTTGGTTTGATTCGGTGATTTGTGTGGTTCCGGGCACGTCAACTACCAGGGTCATTAGTCCCATAAATGTAATGCATGTGTTTTGGTGGGGAGGTGGCGGAGATCTTTTTCTCCGCGGTAAGGTGAACCTACCGTCAGCTAGCGGGTTTTTCCCAACCCCTCTCCTAATCTCCCAAATCTCTCAGCAGCGGGGCACCGCCCCAGCCGGGTCAGGCCTTTAGCTCCAGACGGGTCTCCCGGCATGTATGGTAGTGTACTACATGTATGATAGTGTAGTGTAAGTGTGTGAGGATAGGACAAGGAAGAGGAAGGTGAGATCGCGCGCAGTCCGTGGCCCGTTTGGTAATGGTCCAGCATTCACCTGGTATTGATCGGAGAAACAACGGAAAACTACCTATCAGAGAAGCCGGCCGTTAGAATCCCCCCCCCAGACTGCGACTGAATTCGTCCTAGCTAAGAAGCTAGTGTCGGAAATCCTTCCACCGCCGAGAGAATTTTGTGAGAATTTTTTGGTGGAAATTTCAATCCCCCAAAACGACTCGTTTTTAAAAAAAAATGTTGTACATGGTCTTTTCTAAATAGGTAAATTTGTACAACAGTCTATCTTAGCCAAAAATCGCAAATCAATGTTTTTAAAAATACTTTTTGCAATTTTGCAAAAATCGCAAATATCACCAAATATGAGACCAGCAAAATTCTCTTAAGCGTCTTTCGCACTATTGAAAAACAACATTTAATCAAAAAACTTGGAGCCATTTTTTGGAAAATTTTGAAAATGTCCTAGGGGCTACATGTAAAGTACCCCCCAAAATTAAAATATCGGTTTCAAATTCCAGAGGCCGCAACAAAGAGAACGATTGGTGAATATCAAGTTTAGTGAAAATCAGCTGAAGGGGTAACCGCTAGAGTTGTTCACAGGCGGACCGATAAACTGATGTTTTGCCATCATTCGATTATTAGGTATCAAGGACTCACAAAACATGGATTACGACAACAAAAAACGCATCAGAGAAAGTAATTTATATAAATAGGAGAAGGATATATCCATTTCTTGCTGCTAGCGTTGACCACAGATAGACGGACAGACGGACGTTTTGCCATCAATCGATTTCTCGGTGCCAAGAACTCACAAAACATGGGTTCTGGCTACACCACGAGTTAGAGGATTTTTTTCTAAATTTAGCAACATGAATTATCCACTTTTTCGTTACCAGAACCCGGCATAAAGTTTTTTCTGGCGAAATTTCGGCGTTCTCTGCTGCACATTTACATAACGTTTTCTTCTGGCGAAGAATTCTTAAGGCGGGAAGTAAAAAATATAGGTGGTACAAAATGGTACAGTATTTCTCGTATTAGTTCTCTAATTTCTTTGGTCGGCACTTTCTTTACGGACTTGCCATATACTCTTGCTCCCTACAATCTATCGCCACCTAAAGTCCATTTTAAAAAAATCTCAAGTGTTCGGTGTCCTAATAGCAGCACCATAATATTATTATTAGAATATTAAAAAATAGTAAAACCTCGTCGGAAACGGAAATTTTCATTTAAAAATTTGGAGAAGTATTTATGAAAATGGCTTTTAAGCGTTACCAGAAGTGCGAAATTTGAAGCTCTTTTTCACAGAAACTGTTTGAGATTTCTTAATTAAGAAAATAATAATTTCAATTAAATTAAAAAAAATTTAATTGGACGTCATTTAAAGTACTTCTACTCACAAATGCAATAGTGTTTACAAAGAACTGAAAATGTGTATATTAACGGATTCAGAGATTACATTTTTATATTTTTTTCGAATTCCTCAAAAATATTATGCACACAATATTGGTCGATAATTAATAAACGTTTAAAAAATTACATTACTGTAATGAAAGAATTTACTGCGGAGAATAAATTTAATTTGAAGGAAAAGTCTATATCTTTAATTTCGTAGTTGTAGAAAGTCGCCGAAAAAATGCAAACGTTTGCAATTTCCAAACAATTCAGAGTTAATCATGAAATTTGGACATATACTACTCTTAAAAGTGTATTTTACTCTATCTTTACATGAAATTTAAAGAAAAAATTTGAGCCGTTTTTGAGAACATTTTGAAAATGTCCGAGAAACTTCATGTAATGTTCCTCCAAATTTTGAAGAAAGTACTTCAAAATCGCGGCGCCTAGAGTGGAGCCAAATCGACCGGAGAATATCCATTTTTGAAAAAATCGGACGTTGGCTTAGACGCTAGCGGTATTTACAGATGGACGTTTTGAAAAAAAACACGTTTTCAGTATCAGGAGACCCCAATACGTGTATTTCCACTGAAATCTCGAAATCGATTTTCTGCAGAATTACATAACTTTTCCTATTCTACGTATATTTCTCGTACACGGAACGGTAATAATAATGTCGTCTGGTAAAAGGTTGTTAATTTTAAAATAATACAATATAAAAATACTTTTATTGTTATTAATATTATTTTTATATATTATTATTATTATTATTATTATTATTATTATTATTTTAACTACTTATTTATTCGTTTAACATATGCTTCGACTGACGTGGGAGCGTAGGAAACGACGTTTAATATTTTCAGGGTTGCGGTAGAGGCCTTCAGTGCATTGAGTGTGTGACAGAAGAGGCAAACCACCAGGGTTACCTCCGTGAAGAAGTCATTCGGTTTGCATATTTTATTGCCACAAGACAAGGTTACAAGTAATTGCGTAGTTTACGTTATCCGAGACAAAAACAAGAAATTATATCAATTTTAGTAGCGAATTACACATAAAAAATATGACTTAGACTACTTGTAATAGTAGAAGCACTTGCGAGATTTAAAAACAAAGCATTTTTCTTTACAGTATTTCAAGATTACAATCAAAATATAACAAAATATATTTTTTTCACATCTTCCATTGTTGCTTGTTCCACCCTTTGCTAATTGTTAGAACTAGATGTTTGTTACAAACGAAGCACAAGTTTGTTACAAGATAGAATTGGTCCAATTTGCAAGAAGTAGTGTAAATACCTTAACGCTACGGAACTATACCAATGAATGTTATTATTATCTTGCTCTGAAGCAGCATTCATGTTTGATTCATTTAGAATCTATTCCAGCAAAGAAGTAAAGAAAAAATCTGCTTCATATCCCTGTTGACTACGTATAGGAGCAAAAATGTCCAATAAGTATTTTTTCTGTTAAAAATTCGACACTTTCCCTGGCAAGAATACATAACTTTCTCTACACTATGTAAGTATACGAAAAAAAATTGTTGGACCAAAACGAAGTATATTGTGGCAACTATTTCCAAAAATTAACAAATATACACTTTGAAATTAGTGCAACGCGTGTGATATCCAAGATACGTATCTCAGACTGAAGAAACACTGGCAGAATGGACATTAAACACGTTCAGTTATCACAATTTTGAATATAAGTTTGGAAGCTGAGATCTGTCATTAACTTACCCAATAAAAACGATGAACGATTTCGAAATATATTCCCTTATATATCACGTTATGCACGCATATAATCCTTGATTTTTCTCTGTATACACGTGATTAGTACAAACATAAGACGCCATCAGGTAATGTCCTAAGATAAGCAACATTGTATTTGCTTGTTTGTCATATAACGTATTTTGTTTGCGAGTTCACGTCTACAGCATTTAGACTCTTCATGTGAATGTAAAATGAGTGACCTTCGTCTTTGATTATTTATTTTGGTGTATATTTGTTTCTTCGAGTGATGTGTACTTAGTTTTTATGGGGTTATTGTCAAGTGTATGGGTTCGGTGTATGCTTAAACATTTGATTTGCAGCCGTTCACTATCCAACAATATTTATTGTTCATTGTTCCAATATCAATAAAACAATTTATGGGTGAACGATCAAAGTTGATCACTACAAATTTCTTCCAAACGGTTTGAGATATCGGGAACCTATTTGAAACAAGTAAGTGATGGACAAAAAACCATATTTCGTTTTATTGTTTGAAACATCTTTGATTTTTGATTTATTGTCACAACTTCTGTGTTCTTTTCGGTGTAATAACACTACTCTCTACAGGTATACATCGAAATTCAAACTTCGTATTTTCAATGCATCTGTACTTACGAGTATTTGAATTACTTGTTTGTATTTATTGCCTTACTTACGCTTCTGTATTCACTTAAACCATAAAAATAAAATGATTTGTTAATTACTATGGATACATTAGTTTAATAAAATCGAGTTTTATCGTACATATTTACCATGATCATTACACATTTTGGTCTGGATCAGCATCCCTCTAATTTTAATGGAATGTTAAGAGACGAGTAGAAGAGCAGTGAAATATTATAAGATCTTTAGATCTATTTCAGTAGAAATAAATGATGAATTTAAAGTAATATGAACCTAAGAATGCGAGAACGTAATACTCTTTGTATTTAAAACATTAGGGCTTTTGATTTAGAAAGAAGCTTGAGCTTTGCACTCAACCAAATTTCAAAAATACTATTTTAAATGAAAGGTAGTGAGCTGTAGGTTAATGATATATTTTCCGTTATTAAACTATTTTATAACATAAACACATTTTCAGTTAGCTAACCCTTTACACCGAATTAAATCTCGTCATTCGACAGATTTATTACATCCTCCTTGATTCAACTGATTAGCTATTCAATTGTAACCAATCACGGAAATTAAAATAACAGTTCAGAGGCATCGTTCTGGAACTATCTTTAAGATTGTAAATTATGTTTATAATGTTCTACAAAATTGTGTTAATTCTGTTTATAATGTAAAATAACGTCAAACTCTTGAAAGATATTTTTATGTCGTACAAGGAAAATATATGATTAAAAAAATAAACACATTTTAATAATATCTTTAAATTAATAGAATGAATACATAACTGCCGTCGTTTGTTCATTATTTTAACGCGAGAGTTGCAATCTATCAATAAAGTGGTCGACAATTCGTCGTTTAGCGCGAGAAAACAGTGATGCAGAAATACTATTTAAGCTTAAAGTGTGTTTTTAATTGCACAGATTAGTGAATGTATATAAATGTCATACCCAACTATTGTCTGATACAGGTATTTCTTCACAAAATAAGTTTCCGTCATTATAATTAAAAGTGGTGCATTACGTTTGGAAGTTAAGGTAGACATGATTTCTTTGCCTTTTCTTTGACACGACACACATGAACAGATCTTGTAAATAATAAAACAAAACTTTTCAATTATACTTTCAGAAACACAATTAACTCTGTGATCACAGCGAATAGTGATTGTATTGTAGCAGAATTTGTAAACTTTATTCATTTACGTAGTTTGCTAGAATAAGTACTGAACATTATGAAACAATATATGTATATTTTTTATTTTCCATGTAGTGAAAATGTAGTACTTTTACAGTACAGTACAGCTCTTCCTTTTATGCGATGTGATAGCAAGGATTCAACTACTTTAGTGGGTAAAAGAGAAAATTCACTTTCTAATAAATAGGTCTGCGAGTTATTCTAATCAAAGTGTGTATTTGTATATTTCAAATTTGTGCAAAATTTGTCATCATGACAACTAGCTGTTTTATAACTTTTATTGCTAATGCATAGAGACGTACTATAAAAATAAATGCAAATTTTTGCTCCCTGGGAGCATGATATCGTGTACTCTAAGCACAATATTTAAATACTCAGCGCAAGCTCGAATTCTAACTGCAAAAAATATTACACCGGTCAGGTGTGGCCGAGATCGTAAAGAAAGTAGCCGCGATCTCTGACTAAACGATCGCGGGTTCGAGTCCCGCCTCGAGTATGGTTGTATATGTCTTCGTCCTTTCACCCCCTATAATCACTATCATGTCATTTTCACAGTTACGAAACCGTAAAAGTGGTCGCTAATAACCTATATATTGATGCGACTGCTTATAACAAAAAAATAACAACATTGAAATACAATATTCCACCTCATTAATTACGATTTGTAGCTTCTATACATGTCGACAACTGAGGTGGTTTCAATTTGTAATAACACAACGTGCAGGTATTGATAAGCTAGCCGCATATGCATTTAAGTACGAAATAAATACGTCGTTAAACCAGTAAGATGTGCCAACCCGAGAATGTAACGATGCAGTACAATCCACTGTTAAAATCCAAAAAGCAATGACGTGATAAATGCAACGACCTAGAAGGAAAACGATTGCGAAACGCAATCAGCACATGGAACGTGAAATGTTGAGACGGTCGTCTGCTGGCGTTTCACGCTACCTAGTTTCAGGTTGTAAATTGCGTGAGTGCTATCTTTTTACTATCTCGTCTTACTGCTTTTACGTGGTAGAGTATTGTAATACTGCGGTGGAAATTGCGATTTTTCGACAGAAATACTAGTATTGTCAGACCCTGGCAACGAAAAAGAGGATACAACTTTTCTTTGTGAAGTAAATTACTTTTTCTGACATGTGTATCACATTGCGTTGTCAAAATTCGTTAAAATCCACGTCTTGTGGGAATTTGTTACCGAAAAAATCGATTGAAGACAAACGTTCTCTCTGTCTGTCCGTCCGTCTGTTCGACGTCTACCCGTCCGTCTGCGGCCAACGCTAGCGTTCAGACTATTCACATGATTTTCTCCAAAATGTATATTCGCCAATCGATATTAAACCAACGCAAGACCCTGCGAGTTTGAAACTTGTCTTGTTTTTTGGAGATTCTTTCTACGAAGCTTATACATTTTCAAATTTTCTCCAAAATGACTCAAATGTATTTGATTAAACTTTGTAGAGTATAAAGCGTATAGCATAAATCTTCGTATAGCATAAAGGACGCTTAAACTAGGTGCTACAATAGCACATACTTTATTACATTCGTTTTAGAAAATTTAGAGAGGGCCATTTTAGAAAATTCAGAGAGTCAACGAAAATAAGAGTTGTGCCATTTTTAAGCATCTTTTGCTATATTTATGAAAATGGTAAAGAAAAATTTGGAGCTTTTTTTAAGAAAATATATTTTTTTATAAACTGCATCAAACTCGAGTAGAAGTTACTCCCAACTCTTCATTTATTAAATAATTGCACATTACCTTTTTTCCAAATAAGGCTTTAGAACAAATTTCATTTAAGATGAAAATCGCTCTCTAACATTGAACTTTAGCAATGCTAATTTTTTGTAATTTTCGAACATACCAGGAATTCACCACAACATTTAAAGAAATAATTTGGAACATTTTTTAAGGAAATAGCTGTTTAAACATTACCTTTATTTCACGCAAGAAAGTATTGTAATCACTTCGAAAGGATAGCGGAAAAAATACTCTCTATTTTTAGTAAATTAGTTCATCTAGAACCTTGTTTAGTCAGAATTCACGTTTTGAGGTTTTAGATATCGAAAATTTTTTTCCTGGCAAAACGTTTGTCTGTTTACAGTCTATTTCTTGTCGGACTGTGGTTTCGTCGCAGCGTTTAAATAATTTTCTCCAAAAATGATAGTCCCGATTGATGTGTTCGAACACGAAGTCCAGGGAATTTTAAAATGTATTTGTTTTTATTTTTGGGATATTTTCATTACACTTTGGGAATGTCACTTCACATGAATTTTCCAAAAATTTTGCAATAAGGTCTGCAAATTCTTGTATTATTTGTTGCTCGGATAGAGCTAAGGCTCAGGTTATATTTTTGTTTACTTGTAACTTTTAGAATTTTCGAAAAAAAAATTAAAAATAATGCGAGAAAGACTGTGTATCTGTAGTTTTATAGATCCAAATCGATTGAATATGTGCTTTCCAAGAACGTTTTGTTCCGATCATACTTCCTTGATATTTGGCTGCAGTCAAGCCCGTGTCTCGATTTGTTCGGGGTTGATCGGTCTCACGCAGTACAATAAAAACTATTAATTGCAATATCGACAATACCATTCAATAATTTATTTTCAAGAAGAATCAACTGATGTACATTTAATATATCATTGTAAAAAAATCAGAACTAGATTACAATGTTTCATTGACCCCGGTAAATGAGCTGATAAGTTTTGAATGCTTACTTTTACAGGAGAGCAAAAACATATTTTTAACAGAAGTAAATCAGGGATTAATTATATTCAAACGAAGGTGATATTTATGTATAAGTTTCGTTTAAAATCATTAATCTCTGATCAGGAGAAAGTTGTTTTATTGGCTCTCCTGTAAAATTTAAGCATTCATGACTTATCAGACATTGAACACAGCCTGTAATATTCAGGACAATTAGCGTGAGAACGAATATAAAATCATTCTTTTGTAAAATGTTAACACCCCTGATAGGCAGCAATGCCGAACAGAAGGCAATAAAAAAAAAGACTTATCAGCTTAATCACCAAGGGCAAAGATTTAATCTCTGAAGTAAGTAGTGACCGATGTATTCGGAGTGGGGAGGGTTTGAAATCATTTGCCCCGTTCGGGCCCGCCCTTGGCATCGCTTTGTGATCAAGGTGCCGTGTGGCCTACCTATGAGGGGCAGCGGGCGCGGGCCGGGCACCTCGTGGTATGGGCGCGCGTCGCTCAGCTCGGCGGCGTGCGGGCAGAGGGCGGCGGCGGCGGCGGCGGAGGGCGCGGGCGGTGGCGGGTGGATCCGTGAGCGCGCCGCCAGGCGGGGCGGGGCGGCGAGACGGGGCGGGCCGCGCCCGACAGCCGCCGCCGGCCGGCACGCGCACAACGCACGGCCGCACGCCACGACGCGCACCGCTGTCACTTGTGGGCGCCTGTGGCCGCTGGCCGAGGCTGGAACCAGAGAACAAGCGGCTGGTCAGTGCGTCTGTGGGAGAGGATGGATAGTCTTAAAAAAAAAAAAAATAATTACATACATACATTTGAACTGCCAATTGGTTCTGACCCGGGGCAGTTAAGTGACAATAATTGCAAAAATTACAACACTTACATTAATAATAATACTAATAATGATAATAATAAAATTAAATATAATAATAATAATAATAATAATAATAATAATAATAATAATAATAATAATACCGTACAATACAGAGTACATAAGAGAGAGAAATTGCTGTAAGAAGGGACCAGCTTGACAGCTCCGGAAACAAATAATAGTGATTTATGTACCAAGGGTTCTAATGATCGAGCGGCAAGAAAAAGCCCGAGGGCCTTTGGCTCCAAAGGCGTTTTGTCGCCCGAAGTCATTAGAACAAGCTAACGCCCGTGGTACGTACATAATTTTATTTTTTACCTAATTTATTGACTCAAATTTACTTATTTACTAATTAACTAGATGTTAACGTGACACGGTTCGTCTTTTAATATTTCCATCCCATATTTCCCTTTCACAATTTCCTCCTTAAGGTAACATCAAGTGTTTTCACATTTCCCTTGTAACCACGGTCTCTCGATCCAGGTAACTTATGCAGCATATATCAAACTCTGCATCAAAGGCGGTAACAAGCTATAACGTACCAGTAAAAAACAAAAGTCATGCCGGACAATGGCATTGTAGAAGGTCGTGTCGATGACATTTGCAAGTGAGACAACTGCTAAAGAACAAACTGTCGATTTGAGATCATGGGTATGATCTGTAGACTTGTTGCCAGCAGTAGCCAATCAAAAGCTGTCAAAGCGGTCCCTTCTTAAAGTAATCTCGCTAAAGTGGGACGTTTTCATGATTGCTTATTTCGTGTTTTCGGGTTCGGTAACTGCTACGGTCATTAGTCCTGTAAGTGTAGTGAATATTTTTTATAAACGAATGTGACAGTATTCTCCCCTGGATGGTGAGTCTCGGACCCAACCCACACATCGGCTTGATGTCTTTTCCCATCCGAGTATCTCCCTCCAGCGGAGCACCGCTCAAGCCGGGACTAGCTAGTATAAGCTCCCGAGTGGTCTCCAGACATATGTGGTAGTGTAGTTCGTGTATGTGTAAGTGTGTGTAATTAAGGGGTGAGAACAGGAAAAGGAAGAGGAAGGAAAGATCGCGCGCGGTCCGTAGCCCATTTGTAAAGGGCCCACCCGCTCTGTCATTCGCTTGGTATTGATTGGAGAATTCTCCTCCAGGCTGCGGCTGAATTCACCCTACACAGTCGAAACTCGTCACCGTCAGGACTCGAACTCCAGAATCTCCTGATCAGAGACACTTAAGCCGGTGCACACTTTGATGCCCTGAGCCACCTCGGCCGGTTCAAATTTCAATGAAGAGTGCTCATCCTCTCCCGGGGTAAATGAGTACATAAGAAGACAAGACATAATGTTAAGATGTCCCTAAACCTGAAAATTGGGAAGAATCATATCATTTTCCTTTCCGAATTTGAGAGAAGTCATAACATTTTCAGCATTTGTTTAGTCTTTGAGCGTTTGATCAAGTTTCTACAGCGCATGTGCTGACTAGTCTAAACACAAGTTTACAAAATCCGACTTTTGTACGCTTTTATATCTTTATTGTACCAAATGGTTTTACGCTGAGACATTCTGACATTTTAGTTGCCCATATAACCTGACTCTTTACTTCATCATTTAGTGTCCCAAAACTGGTTATTGCTACCTAGAGTTAACTGAATTTCACTTGCGCAGACAATGGGTCAAACTATGAGAATTACAGTGCAAATTAAGATAGCTTCAATATTAACATACAGTTGTGTAAATTTTAAGTTAATCAAATGAATATTAAGATTGCTTCAGTGTCATTTCGACGGTGAACAAGAAAAGTCACAAATCTAAAAAAAAAGACAATGCTGGAGAACAGTTTTATCCTGGGCCGAGCCATTTATTTCGGAGCCAAAGACAGTTCTTCTCTACACTCTGGGTGCTTTGATAAATATCTTTGTCAGTATTTTAGTAGTAAAAATACAGACTTTTTAAAATAGATCTGATCATTAAATTCAAAAATGCTGTTTGAGGTTTGTCACTTTTCTAGAGTACCGACGATGTGACAAGAATCAGAGTGATGCGAAGTGTTCCATGTGCTTGTGTAATGATGGTTTGGAAAACACCAAACCGTACCAAGGCATCCAATCAAATATCCATGCTACAGGCGGGATTACAACCCGAGACCCATCGAGGCGAAACTGTTGAGGCCCATCTGCCAAAGCGACCTCGCATATCCAGATGTGCTTAAATATAATTAGGGTCATTCGGGATGAATATGATGCAGCAAAAAAATTAGAAAATATTGTGCTATACTTTAAGAATGATTATTTTTTGATATACAAAATTAATAAATCTAGCAGTAATAAACAATATATTCTATTATAAATATTCATAAATATTCATGAATATAATATTCTGGTTAGCTTGAGCGGAGCCTAGACTGGAGAGAAATAAATAAGTCAATAAGCTAACAATAAGTACGTTATTTTATGTTAAGTTAGTAAACAGTCAGTAAACAGAAATAAGTCATAAGTCGTAGTCAATTGGTAAATAACTGGCCAATACAATAAATAAAATAAAACTGGCATAGTAATAAGCACATTAGGGGGTGAAGGGAAGGGGGGATCGAAAATGTAAGGGCAGAGGCGTTGGTGCGGACGATCTTCTGTGGCGCCGTTTGATTTCAGGTGCTGAGGAGGCCAAGCACAGGAAGGAGACGGCGGGACGCCCGCGCCAGAAAATAAAATAGCTAAAATAAATGTCGTATAGATTAGAATGTACTCGGCTTCTGACGGCAGGTTTTTCCCCCTTCAGGGGTTTTTTCCTGAGCCGTACCTTGTGGTCTCTTTTCCGCGGCTTTGATGCGATGAAGAGACCATTGGGGGTGAATACCAGAATTCGAAAGATTAGAACGCGAAAGGATGTAGGTATTGTAATGGCTTAAAGGCCTTCGGCCTAGCCACATAGGATCAAGTAATCTAATTTGTTTGTAATAATTACCTATTAAATAAAATAAAATAAATATTCATAAAGAAGTAACTGAAAATTTCACCGTATTTGAGCATAGCAATAGAAAATAAAAAATGAAAAAAATACTGCTAAGACACAAACTCAGAAAACACACCGGTGGCCGCACGTTGTGGACAACTGACAGTGGAGTTCGCCCGAAATGTTTGTGCACGACGACTGTTACAGAGAGAGCGAAATACACGACAACGGGTCATTACGTATACGTTGAAAAACCATTTCGCAGTTTTAAAAACATTGAGTAGCGAAATGCGAGCTGGGAATTTTAATCTCTCAGAAATTTATTGTGTCTGCGTTAATAATGTGTTTCATTCGTTATTTTGATTGATTAGTGATTCGGGGCACGTCAACTGTTAAAGTCATTAGCCCCATACGTATGGTGGATATGTTTTCCTCGAAAGGTAGCAGAGATCTCCTCCACCTGGATGGTCAGATCCGGAACCGACCTATCTTTGGCTAACGGAGTCTCCTTCAATCAAGTATTTTCCACCAGCGGGAAACCACCCCAGCAAGATTTTGGCTGAGCTTCTGGCCGTCATGTGTGGCAGTGCAGTGCGCGTAAATATGTGTGTAGGTAAGGAGTACGGAGAGAAAAAGGAAGAGGAAGGAAAGGTTGCGCGCGGTCCGCGGCTTGTTTGTTACGGTACAGCTCTGGCATTCACCTGGTGTTGATCAGAGAAGCCACAGAAAACTACCGATCACAGCAACCGCCTGCGAGAATTCTTCTCCTGACAAATATTGAATTCAACCGAGCTTTCTGGCTAGTGTCCAACATCCTGCCACCGTCGGGACTACCACTCTCGGGATCTCAGGGTCTCCCGGTGAGAAGAACTGTAGTGACTTCAGTTGGTGCCCTGAGCCACCTCTCCTGGTTATTTTCATTCATTTTATTGTGTGCTTTCTTTCACAAAATGTAAAAATATTGATTTTTCAAGCCAGCCGATCGAAAAGCTATAAACGATATCAATTTTTTATGAGATGGCCTTCAGTGTAGCCGTTTATCTCTTCAGTCGAATCAGTCGAGTGTATATATTCCGTGGCGAACTCATCCTTAAGCAGCATCTAGACCCTCAATATTTACGTCAAGGTATGGCTCAATATATTGTATAATAATATTGCTGGGACAACCTACACGACAAAATATTTTGGCTTTATCACCGGTGACACTTCTTCAGGCAATATGTGAAATAATAAGAAAACAGCAAGTTATGAGGTTACTTCTAATTTTAAAAAACAAAATGGTGTAGTGTGGATGAAGTCATGGTTCCAGAAAATAAATCTATACACTCATAAACTACATCAATTAACTGCATTAAGGATTAGTGAACCAAGTAAATTTCAAAACTTTTTGCAACTAGACGATACATTATTTGATGTACGTTTGAGAATGATTGTTCCCGAATTCCCCTTTTCTGATTGTACTCGTAGCCATTTTAGTGAATGTTATCTCAATCACTGTAGCTAGAACTGAATCAGTTTTGTCCAATATTAGCCAAAGATGACACAAATTTGACCCAAATTTTCCAGATTTCACAATAAAAATTAAAATCATTTTAATTGACTCAATATATCGAGCAATCATTATATATACATTCATAATTATTGTACAATATCCATTATTGTGCAACATTTCGACGCGAATATTGACCATCTGGAGGCCGCTTTGGAGCGCCTACGGTTGAGCGTCGCGCGGGTGACCTTTGGCCTCGTGTGGGCGCGACGTTCACCTCCGCGCACCCCACGCAGGTTTTTGCAAGCGCCGAACATTCACGGCTCTCCAGTGACATTCGGAGACATGCTTAGTTGTGCGCATGCGCATTCATCCTGCAGTTACACCATTTCACGTCTCACGTAATCCAACGAAAACAACGATTTATTTTGCT